TATCTATGTCTGTCCCAATGAGCCGTTTATTGAATCATTGCAATTGATGTTCGATCCCGAAGAGAAGGAAGAGATCTTCGGAAAGTGGGTTTTTATGATCCGATAAATAATCTAACGTATTTAATATTTCTGCAATATATATATGGTCGGTTCGGTCCGGTTCCCCTATAACCGGACCGCTTGGATACCCATTCCACTTTTAGGAACCAGGAATCGGATTGGCACTCCCAGGAACCGGACAAAACCGATCGGTTTGGGCGATTCTCAATCCAATTAGTCCGTCTTGCTCACCTCTACTATCGGCCGAGGGCAAGGTGACCCTCACCCAATCTAGGCGAGGCCTTCATGGCCAGCAAGGGTCGCCGGTGACCCTCGCCAGTACAGAAAAATAGGGAAAGAAAAATTATAAAATTATAAATTATAAAATCCACGTGGAAATGGAAAATTAAGTAAAAATACACGTAGGACAATTTGCCGGAAATGATACTTAAATGATCGATTTTACTCCAATGTGACACTTAAGTGAGTGAAAAAAAAATTATGACATTCAAATTAATATTGTACGAAAGTTATGACACTTATGCTGCTCTTACCTCTTTATGCCTAAGTTGATGTACGGAAGAACCCGAAGCCTAGAGAAGTTAATTTCACTTTTGCCTCCATAGATTCTGACATGCCTATGTATTCCCTTTCTGGACCAATCAATCCTGTAACTTGTTCTAGTGGGCTTGATGTCAACCCATGTCCTTGTAATATGGGCCACTTATCCGTAATTCGTACTCTCTTAACACGTGGCAAAACACCGTCCGTCGATTTAACACATAAATTGGCGCCGAGCAAGATCCCATTCAAACTACGTGGAATAGCCGGCCTTTTCCTTGGACAAGTCTTATGCATTCAAACGCTTCTTCCTTTCTTTTTAACTGGATACGATAACCAATTCCTCTTTCTTTAATGATGAACCTGCAATCTAAAACTTCATGACACCGCGCGTCTTGGACTCGGTCTTATCATTGGCGAGAGACGGCATTCTAGATCCTTTCTTAGTTGGCTGAGCAATAAAGAAGCAATACATCTTCTCCTTCTACTTGGTTATGTAGGGGAAATTGTCAAATCAGTCCTAAACCTATTGTACGGCGGCCAATTCAGTCCTAAACCTTTTAATTTTGCCAATTCAGTCATAAACCTTTCTAATTCTTGCCAATTCAGTCCTTCCGGCCAATTTTGGCCGGCCGGCACTGACGTGGCCGCCAGCCGGCGCTGGCCGTTCGACCAACGCTGACATGGCAATTTATTATTATTATTATTTAATTTTTTAATCTTTTTCTTTTTTTTTTCCTTTTTTTTTTTCTGATTTCTTCCTCTGGCCGGTCCGGCGACCGGCGGCCTGCCAGAGGGGAGGGCCGACGAGGTCGACCTCGCCGGCCTCGCCGCTGCTGAGGCAAGGCCGACCTCGCCGTCGCCTGGTTCGCGACGGCGAGGTCGAGCCTCGCCCGGATCTGGGCGAGGCTCGACCTCGCCGTCGCGACCCGGGCGTTGGCGAGGTCGGCCTCGCCGCCTGCAGGCTCGCCTCGCCTTCGCCCGGTTCGCAACGGCGAGGCGAGGCCCGGCAGCGCAGAGGGCGGGTGACCTCGCCAACGCCCGAGGCGCGTCGCGACGGCGAGGCGAGGCCCAGGCCGGCGGCGAGGCCGACCTCGCCATCGCGACCCGGCGACGGCGAGGTCGGCCTCGCCTCAGCAGCGGCGAGGTCGACCTCGCCGGCCCTCCCCTCTGGCCGGTCGCCGGACCGGCCAGAGGAAGAAATCATAAAAAAAAAAGAAAAAAAAAGATTAAAAAATTGAAAAAAAAATAATAAAAAATTGCCACGTCAGCGTTGGCCGGACGGCCGGCGCCGGCCGGCGGCCACGTCAGCGCCGGCAGGCCAAAATTGGCCGGAATGACTGAATTGGCAAGAATTAGAAAGGTTTAGGACTGAATTGGCAAAATTAAAAGGTTTAGGACTGAATTGGCCGCCGTACAATAGGTTTATGACTGATTTGACAAATTTCCCTGGTTATGTATAAATAAGACATGCATGGCTCTATAGCTTCATAGCAACATCAAGCATTGTCGATCAATCTTGACATCCTTTTGCAGGGTCCTCGTTTTGTATCATCGACACTTTCTTTCCATGGCGACTCGCATTCTCTTCCATGGCATTGCAGCTCTTGTAATTACTGTCGCTGTGGCGGATCAGAGTCCCCTTCAAGATTTTTGTGTTGCGGACCCTTCCAATGGAGGTAAACTTTTTAAGTAATGTTTAAATGATAGAATAGAAGATACATTGAGAAAATACTTTAGGCATGCAAGTCATGACAATAAAATTCCTTATCTCCTACAGTTTTTGTGAATGGGTTCGCATGCAAAGACCCCAAAATGGTCCGAGCCAATGACTTCTACTTCGGAGGACTTCACTTAACTGGCAATGTATCAAACCCGGTCGGATCAAAAGTGACTCCCGTGACAGTGGCTCAGTTGCCGGGGCTCAACACCCTCGGCATCTCGCTTGCCCGGATTGATTATGCACCATGGGGCATCAACCCGCCCCACACGCATCCCCGTGCCTTAGAGATCTTGACGGTAATCAAAGGTACTCTTGAGGTCGGGTTCGTCACCTCCAACCCCGACAACCGTCTCATCACGAAGGTCCTATCCAAGGGCGACGTGTTCGTTTTCCCCGTGGGACTCATCCATTACCAGAGGAACGTTGGATACAGCAATGCCGTTGCCATCGCGGCTCTCGGCAGCCAGAACCCTGGTGTCATCACGATCACAAATGCGATTTTGAGATCCAATCCGAACATTGCAATAGACATTCTTGCCAAGGCATTCCAAGTCGATAAGAGCATCGCTGGTCAGGTCCAGTCCAAGTTCTAGAAACTGAAATTTGAGATTCATTTGCTTCCTAAGGATACCCTTGTGTCTTTGGACATTTAGGACCAACTATTTGTTCATTGTTGTTGTCCATTATTTATTCAATCTTGCGTCATTATTCTTTCGGTAGAATCAAGTCAATTAATGCATTGTTTGTGCTCCTAAAGCTAAATTCTTCTGCTTGTGCAAACTTTTAGCGTTACGATCCTCCCTCCTTTCGAAAGGGTTTAGATATGGCAATCTGTGCTTTCTGCATCGAACTTGCGGCTTAATTGATTACATGCATTTATCCAATGACTCCAATTTTTTGGGGGTAAGCAATCGATTCCATGAGAGAATGCGTTATGCTCTGGTTATGTGCATTTATCGTATGACTCCAATGTTGTTGATCCCGAGCATAAGCACGTCTCGTCCGGAAATATCTAAGGAAATTTCTAAGGTATAATAGTAGATTGTACAATTACATTTTGTGCAATACTTTTGCACTTGAATACGGTAACACGTCATGACCAATCTTCCCATTTTTTTATTTTGCATAAGAGCTTTTTTCAGAACCCTCGTTTTGTGTCATCGGCACATTTCTTTGGATGCTGACTCTCGCTCTCTTCCTCGATCTCATGGCTCTTGTAGTTACTGTTGTCGTAGCTAATCAATGTAGTCCTTTCAGCTAATTGCCGTTGGAGTTCACGGACGTAACTATTCATAAGTTGTCCATATTACATTGACAATTCTATGTCCTTGCCACTTACCCGTACTTTGGCTCTCCTGACTTACATAGTACAATGAGATCTATTAAGGTACTTCGTAGGGTCGTGCTTACCTCTCTAAAGTGGGTCTTTTGTCGTAAAAGAAGCATGCTACCGTAAGTTGAGTATATCTAGAAAAACCTCTCCTTTTTGAGAAGATACAATGCGAAAGTACTTTAGACATGCAAGTTTTACCAATAAGTTTCGTTGTCTCCTGCAGTTTTTGTGAATGGGTTCGCATGCAAGGACCCTATGACGGTCCAAGCCGATGACTTCTACTTCGGAGGGCTTCACTTAGCCGGTGACACACCAAACCCAATTGGATCAAAAGTGACTCCCGTGACCGTGGCTCGGTTGCCGGGCCTCAACATGCTAGGCATCTCGCTTGGTCGTGTCGACTACGTGCCATGGGGCATTGTCAATCCATCCCACACGCATCTCCGTGCGACTGAGATCTTGATTGTCATTGACGGTACTCTTGAGGTCGGGTTTGTCACCTCTTCAACCTGGACAACCGTCCCAGAAAGAAGGTCCTCTCCAAGAGCCATGTGTTTGTTTTCCCCCTCATGTTGGATCCCGGTTTAGTTAGGATTGTGGATGCTGTTTTCGGATCCAATCCATAAATCGTGACAGACATTCAAATTCAATAAGAGCATCGCTAGTCAAATCCAGTCGAAGTTCTAGAAAATATAATTTACGATTCCCATTTGCCTAGCGAGGAAGTTGATTGCCTCTCAAAGTGTTTCTATTCGCATTAGACGATATATTGAGCTTGATAGGTCATATATCGATATGACATGATGCTCATCTAGATAGATATCTTTCGCAATATACCAAATCTCACAAATGTTCAGATAATGCATGTACCTTGCATTTTTAGATTATATGAATGATCGCCAGTGCTTATATCCTATTCCAATGGAATATAAAGAGCACTTCAATTAATTGTGTTTAGATATTTAAACCAAATATTTGTTTATTGTTGCCTTCAAGATTGGAGTTACGGATGGCATTTATTTTGTCGATTCTTTTTTCGATGTAGTCTATATTCTTTCTCTTGTTGATTCTACATACTCATGAATTAGTGAACTTAACGAGTAAAGCAAGATAGAGAGAAGAAATGCACCATAAGTCTAAAAAATTGCAACTCGAAATCAAATTCTAAAACTTTAAATCACTGGGGTTTACCCCAATGGCTACCATTCTCAAGTGAGAATGGGTAGGTAGAGAGTTTGAAACTGCTATCCTTCGGATAGAGGAGTTTATGGGTTTATGGGGTTTCTCCATATAGACTCCACTTGGGGGTCCAAAGTCCAAAAATATACTTGAGACCAAAAACAAAAGCCAAAACTTCAAAATAGTTTAAATAATAAGATACATAAAGTAATAAGCAAATGCAGAAGACTACATATCCTATCAACCTAAGACCCCAAAACTTTTAGTAACTTTCGGAAGTTACAGACACAACTCTGCCGGAGACGATCATCAAAAGGAGGGAGGAGGAAGAGGAGAATTATAGAAACCCTTTAGCCAGAGGAGCTGAATAACGTACAAAGATTTTCAAGGTACCACTTGAGATGGGGATGACACTTGTACCCAAGCAAATTCTTCCTTGTAACCCATGGCCGCATCGCAAGACGCTTCACAGGAATAAACAACTATAGTAGCCCAGTCAAGCGAATCTGCATCGTTCTTCACGCCGAAATAGTAAAGAAGCTGAGGCAAGACCTGAAAAATAGAGGGCAGTGATAAAAAAGGTCATCCAGTGCGCGATGGTACACAAATAAGAGCTCTAAAATAGATGCATATCATGGTAAAATGACAGGGAGGGGTTTCAGCAACTGCACGTTGACATAAAATCTTTGAAACATCAAGGTCTTTCGGAAGAAAAGGATGCAAAAGGACAACCTGAAATTCGAAACACCGGGGCTTTCCACAATAGCTGCAATTGGGAATATCTGCTGTTGATGGCTGACCACTTGACATCGGCCACAAGGGCCTAGCGAATACATTTCGACAGTACCTGTTCATTACAGGTAGAATAAACAAATAAGATTTGCGATTTTCTGATTTTCCAAACAAATTAAAACCATTCTTATTTCAGACTGAGGGAGAGGAAAGAGTAACAACAGATATTGTTCTAGGATGTCCAATGAGAAATTACTGAAAAGTGGCTTCGAAGTGTCAAAACAGTAATACGACTGACCTGGACTAGGTTACATTTACTACAAACGACTCACAGGCCACATTCAGACATTAAGTTGATACATGTATAACCCATCTATAATTTATTCAAAGAAATTAACTTCCATTTGAATGGCATCACATCTCATCACAACTCATATGTGTCCCAGTAGGACATCCACAGTAAGGTTCTAAATGTTGTCAAGACACCATGACTCTGAAAATCTAGTCAGGCTCTTCTTGGACATCGCAGAAAGAGTGTTCCATCCAATAAAAATACCCAATAAGCATACTTGATATGCACGTCCTCATTGAAGAATTCATGCATTTCAAAACCATACATTGCAGTTAGAATGGAAACTATCATTAACCTTAAAATTTGCTCAGGCGCCCTGGCAATGCGTTCTTGGAAGTTGCCCCAACTCCTCCTGTCACTATCACCCTACTCACAGAAAAAGGCAAAGGATAAAGCACGTGAAATTTTTAGCAGAACTAATTCTCAGAAACTACGGTGCAATTATACCTGGAAACTATCAATAAGTGAATTTATTGAGTCATCCATCTGGTTTCTGGATACCAGACAATTGGTATTATCCAAATCAGCGGACACGTCGACATCATATTCAGCCTCATTCTCATTAACAATCTCATGTTCAGGCCATAGACTCCTGCTTGCAGCTGTTTGCAGAATTACAACGTAGAGAAGTCAACATTCTAAAAGTACAGAAATAATTACCGGAAGTTAAATCATGATGCCAAGTTCAATTTCAACGTCAAGCATAAGACTACATACCGAAATCGTCACAGCTAAATCACTACATATATCTCTGGTAGTCTACGTACTAAGGCATCTTTAAATTACTCCAATAGGACCACTACTATGCCAACATGACAGAAAGAAAGCACTAAAATAACTGTTAAAACAGAGCTTCGAAGTAACTCATATTAACAACAGAGCTGTGCATGTGAAGATGGAAAATTCATGAGACCTAAGAGGCACATATACAAGCACCTCCGTGCAATACTGGTATAATTATCCAAAGAAATCTAAAATAGTTGCTCACATTTCTGGTCTTCTGCTGATGAGTTTCCCGCATTTCTGCTACTAATTTGGCAGGTAACTTTATGACCGGCGCACCAATGCATGGCCTGCAGGTGAAAAACAAAAAGTGTTACGGAAAAGATCAGACTGATCGTGAATGTGTATAAGGAGCTGAATAACCTAGAACCTGATGTTTTTCAGAGCAGTATCGTGCGTCTCTGCATCTACCACAAACTTTATCTCCTTTCCATGTTCCACACCAGTTACAAAGTGGAGCTGCTCAACAACAGTACATTTTGGCCAAAACGGGAAGGATTAGTACCATAATAACTAAGAGACTAACTAGGTCATCTATGAGTTCAGTCTTTGAACTAAGGCCCTTGGAGGCAACAACAGGACCAAGTCATAGAAATCTCCAATTAAACAAAGACAGCATATTCATCTGCTCGTACGTATGTGCAATGTCAAAGTATTCCATCCACTTCCAATGAAAAAAATCAAAATGTGACTGACTGGGAAAAGACATAAAAAGCTACCTCCACTTCCTAAAGGTTTGTCACTCCCATCATGCCGTGGGGGTTCACTTGAGTAGAAGGGATTGTCACGAGGCAATTGGCAACGAAAAACCTTCACACTTGAATACCACCAGAGGACCAAAAGAATGAGACAAATTAGATTAAGACAAGTGCACAAATAATAAACTGAAACGGGACTTGCTGGATTAAGACCATTGAAAGTACCTTCGAGATGCATTTACTGCAGGTCTCTTCCATTGTTCATGTTGATCATGAAGAAGACAAGACATCGACAGACATGCGAACAAATATAATGTGCGATGAAACGTGGATTCTCGATCAAAGGTCGGTGCATATACCTAATAACGTCACAATCAATGAGAAAAAGTACAAACATCTACTAAACAACATAAAAAAAGGGACCCGTGGGCTGAGACAACACTACCAACCAAATAAATGATCTACTATTGAGAGCTCATAAATGAGGCAACTGATAGAAATGAAACTTCTTTCATTGCTTACATGATCACCAAGGGAATAGATAAAAAGAAAATAAGACAATTTATTAAGAGAAGGACACACGGTCACCACAATGCCAATAGGATACCAAAACACTCCATCTAGTACATGCATATTCTCCACACGCATGCTAATGATTAAGACACAAGTAAATACACAGTCTTGGAAAGAAGAAGCAAGTCAATAACAAATATAGTCCCATATCCGTCAACAATGAACAGTTATAGAATTCCAATCAACAATATACGAAAAAGAAAAAGATTTTTATCCCAGTTAAGTGTAACAGGAAATTCAATGGTTGACACACACTACATAGAAACTCATCTAAAGCAAAAGAATAATGTACCTGAAGCAAAAATTGCAAAGGTTGTCCACATATATCACAAAGGCAAGACCTACCAGATGGTAGATTATTTGGATCCAACCAAGCCTGCATTCAGGCAAAAAAACCATAAACCACAATGATGTCAAGCAAAAATCAACATTTTGACATTTCTATCTACTTTTATTGAATATCCAACAACTTGTCCATTAAAATATGCTCTTTAATTTCATATCCTACTCTTGAAGAAATCATAGAATGCAAATTGGAAGCTGGTGCAAGAATGCCAAAAGTATTCAGGCAAAAAGAAAAGATAACTGAAAAGGTCAGAATTTTGCAAAAATAAAACGCACCGGTACTCCACCAGCTTTGCTAGGGAAGAGTTGACGCAGCAGGGACCATTTATTTTTTGGCTTCTCTACAAAACCTAGAGTTACCAGTTTTTGCACTTCATCATCTTCATTGTCATCATCATTCATCAGATCCTCCACTTCTTCTGGATCTGCATCATCATCCCCGTCGTCATCGTAGGAAGAGATATGAGTATTCCTCAGCATCTCCACTGAATCATCGTTCTCACCAATCTCCATGGGCATTTTAATAACTGCACCAAATCAGCAAAATACAAAAGCTCAACACCATATTTAATATCAATAAGAAAAAGTTGAGTGAGATAAACAAGAAATGCAAATACTTAAATCAGCTGACCCATGTAAGTAAATAGACACTCATACACACATATCAGTTCAGCGGACCGACAAATTGTCTGATTGGTGAAATGAGAATAGTTCACAATGCCTTGTTAAAGAATCAATCAAAGAAGAGAACAGCGCCATCATAACAACTAGCAATGATGCAGTCCAAATCATTCTATGAAGATGATGAATGCTAGAAATACGAAGACAGGTCTACTAAATTGGTTTTGTAAGTGACATGAAAAAGTTATATTCGATGTTGAAAAGGACCCACTCATTCAAAAGCCCAGTTACCATCTGCCAAGCAAACCAATTTAGTAGAACAGTCCTAGCATACCTACCGTTAATATCAAATTTACACACACTCGGGAACATCAGCTTTTTCACTTAACTTCATATTCTGCAGGAAGCACCCAGGAATCTCGACACAAGCACAGAAGCACAACTTCACACATCCAGTGCAATCAAAGTGAGGTAGTGGGAGAAGAGCAAGAGAGGGAAAGCAAAACCCACCAAAATTAGACTAAATCGGGTCGAGCAGAGTAGGTCAATTGGCCCAACTCATGTGAATACACTAGCCACTAAATCGGTATCAACAGGGCAATATGAGGGTCCAACTTCAAATTCGACTTAAAGGCTGAAAATTGCATACTGACAACAAAATTTCACGCGAAAACAAGGAAGAAAATAGCCAGCCGCGGAATCACCATACACAAATTATGATCACAGACGTAGCTAAAGCCACCAACTTCCAGCCAAAAAGAAAACCATTTAGGAAAAGAATGAAACGACGAAGAACAACGCCCCACGGAAACATTACACAATCCGTGTATTATCTAGACACTGCCGGCCGCATACGAGAGAGAGAGAGGAGCAACCTTGAGGATGACGGCGACGGCGCGACGGCGAGGTGGCGACGGCGACTAAGCGGAGCGAAGTGGAGAGAGAGAAGAGGCGTGAGCTTGTGTTTCGGTTTTTTTTGTTTTTTTGTCCGGTCGGCTTATGTAGGTTTCGCTTCGCTCCCTAAATTTCATAAAAACACAAAGTGAGCGGGCTCGGGCCGGACCCAACCCAACCCAGGAGTCGGATATTGGCCCGACCCAGGCCCGGATTCACCGGCCTATATTTGGGGTCAGGCCCGCCCAGATTTTCTTCATCAACATGGATTTCGAAACTTCAAATTGAAATCGACACATGAGAGCTTCAAGCTAGGGGTAATCGGATCCTGATCCGGTCCGATTTCAAAGTGGAACAGGGAATCGGATCGAGAGGATCGGTTCCCAAAAATGGTTCCCAAAAATGGGAGTCCCCGATTCCCAACCCAAGACTTGGACCGGTTGGTCCTAGGACGGGGAACCGATTTTTTTTTTCCAACTACTTAAATGTCATATGTTCTAAAACTGGAATTGTGTTCTCTATTATTTTTTTAGAAAAAGATCAGAGTAATAGGACCCTAACTATGCGCTCATATATCTTCTACGATAAATTAACCCACCAAATTGCAAATCAACCACATAAATTGCATATTGAAAACAATAAACTAAACCAATCAATCATCGAGAGATAAGGATTATTTTGTAACCATGAATGATCAAACATCAGTAATGATATTCAAATTGAGAAGACAAACACAAAAACGAGGATGAGTAGCTCGCGGACGACAGAACCTAGGAAAGGAGAAATAGTGGATGACGGACGAGCCAAAGAAGATGGCGGACGAGCCAAAGGAGAGAGATGGCAGAATGACGCTGGCGAGTGGCAATTGGACGAGACTCGAGAAGTCGAGAGGATTGAAGTGCTTCACTTAAGATTTAGTTCACGTTTTACTAATTTTTTGAATAAATAAAAAATAAAAAAAGTATATATAGTCGGTCCGGTGAATCCAGTTCGATCAGTCCAGTCTGGTTGGTCTAGTTTAGTACGGTTCCCTTTGGAACCGGGAACCGTACTAAACCGGACTGCTTGGACACCTGTTCTACTTTTAGGAATTGAGAACCGGACAAAATCAGCTAGTTCAATTTGGACTAGTCGATCCCCGTTTGGGCGGTCTGTTTTACACACCCCTACTTTAAACCATGAAGGTATAAACTTCGTCGTTAACCCACTTTATTTACCACTGAATTTCCGTGGTCGCCACCTCGTTGTTGTTTAGTGACGATACGACCACCGTTCATTGCTTGAAAAATGATGAAGCTCAAAGAGTCCGTTTGGTTCAACTTTGCAAATGAACCTTGGGAGAATGCAAATACCTTTAGGTTAAAGCCCTTTGGGGAAATGCAAATGACGTTTGCTAAAAAATTCTTTGTAAAACTATTTTGGCTCAAGTAGTGTTCGGCTATTTTTTTTTGCAAAGGGCTTTGGGACCCTTTATTTTTTTTTAAAAAAATTACCCTTCCCCGGAGCCGACGAAGGGCTATGGCCGCCGGTGAACAGATCTGGCGCTAGTGGCCATTGCCCAAGGTCGGGCGATTGTCGGCAACCCAAATCTGGTGCCGGCGGTCGTCGCCCGAGGTCGGGCGACCCCTGGCAAGGGTCACGCAGGCGACCATCGATTGGGATCGCTCGACCTAGGCCGTTGTCGCCTAGGTCAAGTGACCTCACCGACCCTTCACCATCCAGATTTGGTGTCATCGGCGCCCTTGCCAGCCACCCTTTCACGAAGAAGATGAACAGTAACAGTAAGGGGCAAAACCGGAATATTAAAGAATAATAGAGGGTAGTTTGAGAAGAAAAAAATTAGATTTAGCATTTGGCAAATGCTGATAGCCCAAAATTGATCCAGACCAGCTTTCAGCTTTGAGCATTTCCAATGCTGCCTGTTGGCCGAAAGCCCATTTGGAATGCTTGCCAAGCGCCCTAGCATTTTTTTAAAGGGCTTTCGGCCTGCCGAAATCCCCTTGAGAATGCTGAACCAAACGAGGTCAAAGTAGTTGAAGATGGAAATACGACTTTTAGCCCGCTCTTCCCCATGTCGTCCATGCTCGTGCACGCAAAAGATTAGAATAAAAGACCCTCTCTTTCCTAAAAGGGGCCCTTTTCCTTCTGTCTCTCGCGCCCCGAAAGCCAATCCCCACACTGTTGACACCTAAATTTTATCTATGTCGTTTAAGGTCTAATTGCATAGAAAATTGGGGGATTAATTTTTAACCCCTAAATCAAAAATATTTTCATGGCATATAGACATCAGGTGCATTTGCGTTAATAAGGCCTATTAGAGTATATTTTCCTTATTTATTTTCAAAATAAATTTAATTTAATTTTAAAAAAAAACGTTATTCAACGCTTATGAGGGTCGGCCCACTCTCGTCTTTCTTCTGGCCATTTAGTTTGGCCCCCGTCAAGCGCTCCTTCCCCTCACGCTCGGATAGGATGAAGACGAACAGAGACGACAAAGTAGAGGTGTGCTCTACACGAGGAGGCTGATAGCTGCGATTCCAGAAGCGGGAAGCAGTGGTGCAGCGCTGCATCCTGACGGCGCAAGGACCCAAGAGATCCGCAGCCGTTTTAGCAAAGAAACGGACGTGATTCAACCCCCAAGGAGAGAGACCCGGAGCATGCGGCGTAGATCAAAATGGGGAAAGCACGCCGATCAACGGGATCTTTGAGCCGAAAATAGAGGGGAAGGAGAGGCTGGCATTGTTGGACCGAAAGTCGTCATACAAAGGGGGCTTAAAGGTGAAGTGATGGCTCTTAAAGGTCACCAAGAGAGCAAGGAGGAAAGGGGAAGAAAAACGGAGGAAGAGAGGGGAGAGTTCAAAGAAAAGAGGAAAAAAAAAAGGGAGGTAGAGAAGAGAGGCCAGAGGAGACAGAGGGGAACCGAGAGTGGAATGAGCGAAAATGGAGAGAAGAAAGGGGTTTTGAAGAGGAAAATGCTTCGGTTCTTCTTTTCGGGAGGTTCGCCCACAAATTTCCTTCCCCTTCAATCGCTTCTTCGCGAACGCCTCTCGCCATAGTTTTCGATTGCCTCGACCGAAGACCATCCGGCCTCCTAATCTGCCCAAGACCAAGTCACTGCGAAACTAAGCCCTAGCTGCAGCGAAGGGACGAGCTCAACCTCATCCTTCATTCTCTTCGCCGATTGTCCGCCCTTCCCGAACCAGGTAACTCCTCCATTTCATGCTCTGTTTCATCCTGTTTTTTTTAACTCGAGAACGTTAAACCACCCCCCACCCCCCGGAACAAGTATAGACTTTATTCTTTCTCTAGGGTTCTGTATGGTCGTGCCCAGTGGCGTGATCTTTAGGAGTGTGAGTTTAAGCAACTCCAATCCTACGGTGCTTGGTATCATGCTTTAAATGGTTGACTAGCTCCATCAGTTGAGATTTCTTTAATCGGATGCAAAGTCTCTAAATTTCACTGTCCCTAAATCAAATGTCTAAAAAATATTAGAAACCAATGAAATCCTAATTTTTCAATCGAAGGTCAAATTCTTCGATTTGACCAAGAAGTCAACATTTTGCTATTTTTACGAAAATTTGAAACCTTAAGGCCTAATTCTACCCGTCTATGCTAAATTGACACCTACATGCGATTTTTACGTTTTGTAATTTTTGACCAAGAATTTATTTTTCTTTTTCAGGTTTGACCAAAGAGTCATAAAAAAAAAGGTCAACTCTTGATTTATTAAAAAACATGATGCCTAATTACTAATCAATGCAATGATCCTAATTTCTATGTGCAATTGTGTTGGAAGCGAGTGTCGGGAGAATCGACTAACCTGTTTGATGCACTCCAAACAAAATTTCAAGGATCGTACGTTGAATCACCAGCAAATGATGAACGAATCTACTACACATTGGTCCAAATACAATCACAAGGAAAGTATTCTTGTTCCACAGCGTTAATGCCAATTGTCTTCTCAAAGTAGATACGGAATCCTAATGCGTCGAGAGAGAAAGTTCTGAATTTCTATTGTAAATTGTTCATCTACCGAAGAAGTTATCTTAACTTCCATTAAGAAACTCTCCTCGCATCTCTTCAAAATGTGTCTCTCAGACACACCTCTTATTAGAGTAAATGGTGTCCCTTGGACACACACATCATGGGCGAACCGACGAAATATAACATCTTCCATTCGCACATGATGGGCTTGATGATGCTCTATCAAGAACATAAGGCATTCAACATTCATCTACCTTAGAAATAATTCATACTGGCAAGAAAGCCGTGTGACCAGTGAGTACACCTGCACTTGGGAGCTCTAATTATGCACCTGTTAGGGACAACATAATGACTACAACCCCAAAAATAAATAAACAATTGATATCTCACAGTGCCCCAGACATATTTTGTTACATTAGTCTAAGTATACCTATCCCTTAAAGGCTATACTTGACTTTTCTCAAAAACACCATGTATTTACAATTATTTCCGAAAGCCATTGAAGGCGAAATAATTGGTCGACCACTAAACACATGTGATAGATGTAAAACAACAATAGTCTTCCTTCGCACTCATGTCTCTCTCCATTTCGGAACAACTGCTTTCCTAGACACGTCCCATAAAGCCATATCTATTCATGACTGCCAGTAACATGCTAAAGTAGCAACATTGATCTTCTATTTTGAGAACATAGTCAGAAGTAACGTAGGGCACAAAGTAAGGTAAATTATAAATTACCTTAAGGACTCACACGATGAATAAATAGGGATAATTGTACTTATCTCCCTTATTGGTCAAATAAAGCACATGTAGTATGAATCACATACTATAGTGGATTTCTCTTTCTATAAGAGCGTATGTCATTTATTAATCATATCCACTATACGAATCTTAGCCTAAACATAGTCACATGCTTCTCACGTACCCATATTTAGCCCGAGTGCTATATCAGCTCGCTTTCCACAGCGCCCAATTTAGTACTCGCATCCGGCTACCTTCAGGCATACATGATTGTGGGACTATCATGTTCGGTCTTATCACATACAAATAACAGACCTCATCTTGATTCCGATCAAGGCGACATTAAATCATTTTATGTACTAAA